ATGTATTTATAAAAATATACATTTATAAATCAATATAGATAATATAAAATACATTTATAAATCAACTTTTATTTGAGGGTTATATATTTTCATAAAATATTTAATATTTCATAATATTTGTAAATAATATTTTAAATGTATATATGTGAAATACATGCTTTCATTTATTTTTATTAAAATATTCATATAAATATATTTACATTTTTCAATATAAGCACAAGCTGCAGGACGGGAGGGGCGGCTTCGATGATACGGTGATGAAAGTCGGTACCGAGACGACCAAAGAAGAGATAGATGGACCGGATTACCGAAGACATGCGTCACGTGAACGTCGCCTCAGAAGACGCCTTGGATCGAGCCAGAGAGAGACGAGCTTGCCGTCAAGCGAAATCTGCCATTGCGCGGGAGTAATGCTAGAAGAAGAAGCACGAGATGCAGGACTGTCCCATGAACATGCAGTGACTCTGAACTCACTCTCTAAGCATCCCATTAGAATGGAACGGTGTCTGGTGACAAATTCAACCTTCGTAAGAATGAGGATATCACCTCGACATGACTTCTACAGCTTACTGCAACTTCAAATATGACAGGCTATAGTTCACATTATTTCCTGTTGTGCTTTGGAACATAATCATCTTCACCTCAGGTGCACATGTCATTGCCTACTGTACTTTCCTTAAGGGGAACATCCATTCATGAGGAAAATATGACCGTGAACGGACTTGCTGTAGACCTGAGTTGACTGAATTTGAGTTATACAGAAATTCTCCCCAACGCCTTTGGGTGAATCACAGCAAACGGCAGTGCTGCATTTTTTAAAGTCATTCATCAGACACATATACAGAAGTTGGGTGGGTTTTCAGGCTTCAATAACACAGTGATTGACATGCTTAAATAAAGAAGAATCAGCGCAATAATAATGCTACACCTACTGTCAGCACATCTGCATAAGCTTTTGATGCAGCAAAAATGCTTATGAATGAATAGGTTCAGCTCGACTGAGTGTCTACAAATATTCAGGGAGGACTTGGTGGAGTTTCATGGGTAAATGCACTTTTTAGAGCTAAAATCGAATGGTATTATATACAGTACAGTGGCATCTCAATTCACAAATCTGTCATCGGACTTGATGGTTACTAGTGATACTGTCACATAATTATAAATAATATTTTCAAATGTCATTCAGACTAGCCTGGCTAACTGCATGCATTGACTTTGTGTCACATGTGTTTGCATCTGTATGTTTTACTAAATAATATTTCCATTCAACATCTGAATCATCACTCCT